TTCACTTAACCCCGTCTAATACGGTTCAACTGGTTCGTCGATTTCTAAATTTTTGTCAGTTCGATCCGGTCTAACAACCGGTCTAATTATATTCGGATTTTAATGTTGACCCAATCCGAATATTTCGGTTCATGGTTCACCCCGGTCTGTCCGGTCCGGTTTTGAAAAAGTTCTTTGTCTTCGAACAGAACCGAGAATACTCAATTGATAGCCTTTGTGGTTTTTCACTTCGCGTCACAGACGTTGTGACGTTTTTCCATTGTCCTCAAAACGGCACGCACTCCACGAAAGCACATCAACGCTTTGTTTGTCCCCTACCAAAAACCTGGTAGAGGTCCTCCGTCACAAGCCGCCACATAGTAGTAGAGAATGTGGAAGCTGACGTCAAGACTCCGGCCACATAGCAATCCGACCCGATGGATAGTCCGAAACTTCCGGAGCGGAGAGGCTGGAGACGCCACCGGTCTCTATGGCTTCGATCATCTTAAGACGGCCAAAGGGTTTCAGCGATTCGTCGCCGATGCAATTGAAAGGTATGATTTTTATCCTAAAGATCTTTCCTTTTTCGTTAGATAGCCATTGAAATTGATGGGATGGTGTTGTCGCTCAGGCAGATCATTAGAGAGATGTACTGGGTTTTTGGAAAAGAGTTATTGTGATGTGATTTGGTTATTGAAGAAAGATTTTTGAACCATTTTCTTAGGTCTGGGGAGTTGGTGAACTATATATCAGGAATGCCTTCGTCTCCAGAGATTATTAAAGCCATGGATGAGATCTCAGACACTGTAGGTTCTTCTTGCTGCGGCTTTTGTTCTTAGTGTTACTTTTACCAGTTCTCATGTTGCTTGCTTGTAGTGATTGTTCTCTTCTGAATCTGAATCTTGTAGGTTTGTTCTGTTGTTGACTCTGCTGAACTCTGTAGACAAACCCATCCTGACAGGTCTCTCTCTGAGCTTACATGCTTGGTTTATTATGTTCTACTATTGATTTCTTTTTTCACCGGGTTACTTCGCTCTATATAATAGGGAATTTGTTGAGGCAGCTCATAAAGCAGCAATGGAAATGAATGATTATCTACATGTGAGGTGACCAAGGATTTGCTCAACTTCGGTTTTTCCTTCTTTGGTTTACGCGTCTAAATCTTGGAATGACTAAAAAAGGAAGAGACAATAATTAAATCACCTTTTGTTAAATCACAGTTTTCTTGATTATACTTGAATACGCAGCTGTATGAAAGATCTGAAATCTCAATTAATTTTCATTTCAGCCGTAGAAACTGAGGATATATGACCTCTTCGGACTCTCATCCATATCAGTAAACACAGTATTTTTGGGAATCTCTTAACTTATTCTTCTTTGGGTTTGATGTTCAGCATCTTAACACAAACCATACCCTGTATGCTGCGGTGAAAAAAGCAGAGCAAGATTCTAACTTACTTACCAAAGAAGCTTGTAGGACCGCACATCACCTCCGAATGGACTTTGAACGGGGTGGCATTCATCTATCCCCTGGTTTGTTATCTATTGTGGTCGATTCTTTACCCTTTACGATGTGGCTGTTTTACTTGATGTTGAATGCCTTTTTTATTCCTTTTCTTTTATTCTTTGCAGAGAAGCTAGATAAAGTGAATAATTTAACAACCAACATTTTTCAGTTATGCAATGAGTGAGTATTCATGAATACATAAGTATTGACTCTACTGAAACTCTAAATTTATAATGATGCTTTGTGCTATTAATGCTAACTTCCTTATGATCCATATTCAGGTTCAGCGGAAATATTGCTGATGATCCAGGCCATGTTGATATATTTCCAGTATCACGCATCCCTCGACATCTGCATCATCTTCTCAACCCTATCTACCGATCCACTTCAGGGAGTCCAAAAGGGTCTACAAGATCAGTTCATAACTCGAAACAGAAAGGGTTTCGAATAACTACTGATCCCCGAACCCTTGCTTCCATTTTGCAATGGACATCAGACGAAGAGGTGCCTACTTTACTTATTTTGCTCTTTTTCCTTATTCTGACACTCGAACCTGAGGGGTAGAGGTGGGAGATTAAAGTGTTTTTCATTGGTAACTTACAAGTTTTTTATAATCAAGTACTATAGAGTGGTGTTATATCAGAAACAGGGAAATGTGCTTTGAAGTTGCATTAATTATGTACCTACAACACCATTGTAATTTAAAACCTCTATTTTTCAGGTTAGGAAAATGGTATATATTCAAGGAAATTCTGTTCCTCATTCAAATCATGGTGTTCTTGAGAAGCTTATTGCTTCACGCCATGAGCTTGCCCAGGTTAGTACATATTCATTTATGATGCTCTGTAGTTTATTCTTTGTGTTAAAAGATTGCACTTGCTTATTGTAATAGCCGTTTTTTTCTTTGCTCTCAGATGATGGGGTGTAATTCTTACGCTGACTTTATGGTCGAACCAAACCTAGCAAAATCGCCAAAGGTTGTGACATCCTTCCTACAAGACCTGAGCAAGACAATCAAACCAAAGGTGGACGAAGTAAGCTTACCTTCGCACTGAATCTGCAAAAGCTTGCAGTTTTTTATGATGTTCTTGCTATGGAAAACTAAGGCTCTAATAACCAGTTCCCATATCCGTAGGAATACATAGCCATTAGAGACTTTAAAAGAGAGAAATGTGGTAGTAAATCTGCAGAATTAGAGCCATGGGATGAGACTTACTATACTTCAATGATGAAATCCTCCGTCAATGATGTGGACACCAGTGTAAGTTGATTTTGCTATTTAACTTCTGTCCAATTTGCTGTAGTGGCATCACTTATTGTAGTGCCGCAAAAGCACTTGGGTTTCTGAATCTTCGTTTCTGATATTCTTAGGATATTTTTTTCGTTCTCTTTTCTTCCGTGAGAGAGACTGTTGCAAAGATTTATCTTATCATACTCTGTTGGAATATTCTTGTACAGGTTGTAGCATCATTTTTTCCTCTGCCTCAGTGTATTGAAGGCCTAAAAGTGCTTGTTGAGTCATTATTTGGTGCAACATTTCATGCTGTTCCTTTGGCCCCTGGTGAATCCTGGCATCCAGATGTGATTAAAATGTCTCTTCATCACGCGGATGAGGTATGTTGTTTACGAACTAAGATATCCTTAAATATGTCTTGTACTTGTAAATAATAATAGTTCATTTGAAGATAGCCAATTATTTGGTAGCACACCGTCTTTGTTCCCTCATTCTAACATATCATGCCACTGTCTCTTGCAGGGTGATCTCGGGTATCTTTACCTTGACTTGTACTCAAGAAAAGGCAAGTACCCTGGGTGTGCTAGCTTTGCAATCAAAGGAGGACGAAGGATTTCTGATACAGAATACCAACTTCCTGTATAGTTGATCAAATTTCATTTTTTTCCTTCATTGCTTTAAATGTATGGCTAAAAGTATGAAAACTGCCTCCTGGGAATATCATATTCTTTACACGCTGCTTGTTGACCTGATCCTATTGCAGGTTTTGGCTCTTGTTTGCAATTTTTCGCGAGCTCGTGATTCGTCAGTCGTGAAACTTAATCACTCTGAAGTTGAAGTTTTGTTCCACGAATTCGGCCACGCACTACACTCTCTGCTCTCAAGAACGGTGTGGTGCAAATTAGTCAATACAGAGAGCTAATTACAATCCCCCCCCCCCCCCCTCCACAAAACTTTGGTTTTGCATTGCTGATTGCTCTGTTTTCTGGATTTGGCAGGAGTACCAACATTTTTCCGGTACACGGGTGGCTCTTGACTTAGCGGAAATGCCTTCAAATCTATTTGAGTGAGTATACTCCTTACATTAAAACTCTTTTCCAATACTCTTTAATTTTGAGTGTGCTTATGCGTCCCTCAGGTACTATGCATGGGACTATCGCCTCCTGAAGAGATTTGCCCGGCATTACTCAACCGGTGAAACAATACCCGAGAAGTTGGTGAACTCATTACAAGGTGCGAGGAACATGTTTGCAGCAACTGAACTGCAACGCCAGGTCTGATTAATTGATTCACCTCTCAAATAGGCTCTCAATGCAGAAAACCAAAACTAGAGAGAGATCAACGTCAGTTTCTGTTTGGGTTTTTGATAGGTGTTTTATGCATTGATCGACCAAATGTTGTTCGGGGAACAACCAGAGACAGCAAGAGACGTGAGTCATCTTGTGGCTGAACTGAAACGGGAACACACGAGCTGGAACCATGTCGAAGGAACACATTGGCATATTCGATTCAGTCACCTACTTAACTATGGAGCAGGTCACATCTCTATCTAAATGCATACAAAGTG